CCTAAACTGTTACCACAAGTTGCACTATGTGACCTTCACCCATTATCTTCATGTTCCTGGAATTTGTGGTGCAAAAGAACATTGTATAGCCAAGTAATAGCTTATGCTATTTTAATATAAATTTAATTGTATAAAACACTTAATAACTCCAAAGCTAAAACTATATAACAAAGTAATCAGAGAACTCTAGCTTTCTATCAACAATATTTTCTCTCTCCCTAAGGTAACCATCTCTATTAATTTTTAGTTTTACCTTTTTTTTTGAGACGGAGTTTCGCTCTTGTTGCCCAAGCTGGAGTGCAATGGTGTGATCTCGGCTCACTGCAACCTCCGCCCTGCCAGGTTCAAGCAATTCACCTGCCTTAGCCTCCCAAGTAGCTAGGATTACAGGTATGTGTCACCACGCCCAGCTAATTTTGTATTTTTAGCAGAGATGGGTTTCTCTATGTTAGGCTGGTCTTGAACTCCTGACCTCTGGTGATCTGCTCACCTTGGCCTCCCAAAGTGCCGAGATTACAGGTGTGAGCCACAACACCTGGCTAGTTTTACCTTTTAATTGCTTCTTTTTGGGTATGTGAGCAAATGCACATATTGCACATGTTTTTATTTTTCTCTCCCCTGCAGCCTAAAAATTGCTCTGCACTTTGTTTTTTATGGTTTGTTCACTTTTCACTAATATGCCATGAAGCTCATTCTATAGCATTACATAAAAATTCTTCATCCCTTTTTACATTTATTCGGAATTTAATAGCATAATTGTATTATCACTGTCAATTACTTTCTCTTTATGATAAGTATATCAGCCAGGTTCCTGGCAGAAAACAGATGGCACTTTCAAAATCGGTAATGTGAGAATTTCGTCAAGGGACTATTTATAAAGATGTGGGCCCTGTGTATATAAATCACAAAGACAGTGCAGTCCTCTAGGGACAGCTGCAGCAAAGTGCCTGAGGGGTAAGGGAGAGTACGTACTGGAACCAGAGAGAGGGCCAAGGGACAGGAGCTCAGACCTTGGGTTGAAGAAAACAGCCAGTCTGCTGTGATCCCCTAGGCAAGGAGCTGGGGGAAGAAAGATTCTCATTTCACTCTTGTTCCTCCTTGTTCCCAGTCTCCTACTGAGGCCAATCCCAGATGGAAATAGAGACCACGAGAGCTCATGGGTGTGGGCCATAAGGTCAGCCCCTCTGCTCTACAGCAGATGGGGAGGGGCAGAGAGTGGATCTGAGGGGATAACTGGACACACCTGGCAAATTATACTCTTATTTTAGTGTTGTGATATAAGGTTTTCTTTAAGTTAAATGTGTTTTGGTTTTTAAAAAATAAGTTGAGCCAGGGGTGGTGGCGCGTGCCTATAGTCCCAGCTACTTGGGAGGCTGAGGCTGGAGGTTTTCTTGAGCCCAGGAGTTCTGGGCTGTAGTGTGCTATGCTGATCGGGTGTCTGCACTAGGTTCGGCATCAATATGGTGACCTTCTGGGAGTGGGGGACCACCAGGTTGCCTAAGGAGGAGTGAACCGGCCCAGGTTGGAAATGGAGCAGATCAAAACTCCCATGCTGATCAGTAGTGGGATCGCACCTATGAATAACCACTGCTCTCCAGCCTGGGCAACATAGCAAGACCCCGTCTCTTAAAAAAAAAAAAAGTTGAAATAAAAGCAAATAATTCTATAGGTGTTATGAGGATATGGCAACAAAGGTGAAAGTGGTTTCAGATGACTGAAGTCTCAGAAGTCCTGCTCTGGACTTGTATTACAATTATAAAATTAAAAGTATAAAATACTCCTTGTATTTTGGACACTGGCCTCCTCTCCCTCTTGCCCTCCTCCCTGGCTGTCCTTCCTGTGGCCCTTTGTGAGGCTCTAAGAAACATTAGGGAAATGATATTTTTAATTGTAAAGCACAAGAGAGGCCCAGAAGAGTCCCTGGGTGAAGGAGCTGGTGAGGCTCTGAAATGGATCCATATGCCCCCGGGGCATCCCACGGCACTGAGCCCCACCCAGACCCACTCCCGTGGCTGCCTTCCCAAGAGCACAAGATGGCTTTCTTATTCCTTGGCCAGTTGAGCAGTTGAGGGAAGCTAGATGCTGCCTGTCTTTGGGGCCAAAACTCTGGGCTGGAAACTGCAGAGGATCTTAAGGTGTAGAAAGTCCCAGGCCTGGATTCAGTCCAAGATGCACCTGGCCCTCAAGTCAGCCATAGCCTGAGGGGGTAAGGGTGATCTCAGAGAAACTGAGACTTTTCTCCAAGGAGCTGAGAGACAGAAAGCTATGTGATTGGGAGATGGGAGAGATAAAAAAGATGATTCTTTTTTTTTTTTTAAGATGGGGTTTCACCATGATGGCCAGGCTGGTCTTGAACTCCTGACCTCAGGTGATCCACCACCTGGGCCTCCCAAAGTGCTAGGATTACAGGCTGGAGCCACCACACCTGGCAAAAAGATGATTCTAAAAGGAGGCATCCCTCCTGCCTCTTCCTTGCCTTCCATCTCTAGGTATTATCTCATTCATGTAAGTGAGTCCTCTCCTCTGAGCTGGGCACTGAGAAAATGGTAGGGACACAGTGGAAAACAACTAGTCTCTGTCTTCATGGAACTCACAGGATAGTGAAGAAGACAGATGAGTAAACAGCTATGATGGCCGGGCGCAGTGGCACATGCCTGTAGTCCCAGCTACTCGGGAGGCTGAGGTGGGAGGATCGCTTGAGCCCAGGGGCTCTGGGCTGTAGTATGCTATGCCGATCGGGTGTCCGCACTAAGTTCAGCATCAATATGGTGACCTCCCGGGAGTGGGGGACCACCAGGTTGCCTAAGGAGGGGTGAACCGGCCCAGGTCGGAAACAGAGCAGGTCAAAACTCCCATGCTGATCAGTAGTGGGATCACGCCTGTGAATAGCCTCTGCACTCCGGCCTGGGCAACATAGCGAGACCCCGTCTGTCTCTAAAAAAAAAACAAAAAAAAAAAAACAAAAACAGCTATGATGGAGCCTGCAGAGTACAATGGTACCTAACCCAGACTTTGAGAGTCAGAGACACTTTCCAAAGTGATGACTAAGCTGAGTACTGAAGGATGGTAAGAGTGAGAAGTTTATGTCCACAGGGGGATTTTTACCAGGTAGAGAGAACAAGTATATACCACCACAGCTGAGATCCTGGTCTGACAGCAATTATAAGTGGACCAATTTATCAGAATACGTTGGAGGTGGAGAGGGTGAAAGGGGCAAGATTTGTAGAGAGATGAGGCTGGAGGGGCCTGCAGGGGCCAGGATATGCAGAGACTTGTAAGCCACCCTAAGAAGCTTGAATGGTAACCTGGAGGGAATGAAATGTTTAGGCAAGACAGTGACATCATCAGATTTGTGCTTAAGAGACTATTCATGCTACACTAGAGGCAGCTCTTGAATTTGTCTCCACATTTCTATCTTCACTGTCATTCCCTGGACTGCTGCAATAGCAAGTTCTCCCCACTGAGTCACCTAGCATGCTATGCCTCTCTGAGTGACTCTTTCCTTCTTTGTTGCCCAGACTGGAGTGCAGTGGTGCAATCATAGCTCACCACAGCCTCCAACTCCGGGCTCAAGTGATCCTCCCAACTAAGCTAGAATAACAGGCATGTGCCACTATACCCAGCTAATTCTTAAAATTTTTTTGTAGAGATGATGTATTAGTCTGTTCTCATGCTACGTAAATAAATGCCTGAGACTGGGCAATTTATTTATTTGTTTGTTTGTTTGTTTGTTTGAGACAGAGTCTCACTCTGTCACCAGGCGCCAGGCTGGAGTGCAGTGGCACAATCTCGGCTCACTGCAACCTCCATCTCCCGGGTTCAAGCAGTTCTCCCGCCTCAGCCTCCTGAGTAGCTGAGACTACAAGTGCACGCCACCACGCCCAGCTAATTTTTGTATTTTTAGTAGAGACGAGGTTTCACCATGTTGGCCAGGATGGTCTCGATCTCTCGACCTGGTGATCTGCCCGCCTCGGCCTCCCAAAGTGCTGGGATTACAGGCTTGAGCCACCACAGCTGGCCGAGACTGGGTAATTTATAAAGGAAAGAGGTTTAATTGACTTACAATTCAGCATAGCTGGGGAGGCCTCAGGAAACTTACAGTCATGGCGAGAGGGGAAGCAAACACATCCTTCTTTACATGGTGGCAGGAAGAAATGCAGGGTGAAACATGGAAAGCTCCTTATAAAACTATCAGATCTCAAGAGAACTTACTAACAGAACAGCACGGGGGAACTGCCCCCATAATCTAATCACTGCCCACAAGGTCCCTCCCATGACATACGGGGATTATAGGAACTACAATTTAGGATGAGATTTGGGTGAAGGCGTAGACAAACTGTATAAGATAGGGTGTCTCTCTCTTTTTTTGTTTTTGAGATGGAGTCTTGTTCTGTCACCCAGACAATGGCGTGATCTCTGCTCACTGCAACTTCCGCCTCGGGGATTCAAGTAATTCTCCTGCCTCAGCCTCCTGAGTAGCTGGAATTACAGATGTGTGCCACCATGCTCAGCTAATTTTTGTATTTTTAGTAGAGACAGGTTTTCGCCATGTTGAAACTCAAACTCCTGGTCTAGTCTCAAACTCCTGACCTCACATGATTTGCCCACCTCGGCTGCCCAAAGTGCTGGGATTAGAGGTGTGAGTCACTGCCCCTGGCCAGGGTCTCCCTATGTTGCCCAGGCTGGTCCCAACCTCCTGGTCTCAAGCAGTCCTCCTGCCTTGGTCTCCCAAAGTGATGGGATCATAAGCATGAGCAAACATGCCCAGCCTAGGATATTTCACATAAATGGTATAATGCAATATATGATCTTCTGTTGTTGCTTTCTTCCACTTAGGATAATGTTTTCAAGATTTAGGTGGGCTACTTTCTATAATGTCTTTTAGTCATTCTTTGTGTCTTTATGCATGTGCCTTTTCTCACCAACAAAGCCATAAGCCACCCATGGGCACAATTCATGTCTGAATGTGTATAGTCCCTAGAAAAGATTGCTCCGCATGCTTGCTTCAGCAGCACATATACCAAAATTGGAATGATACAGAGAAGACTTGCATGGCTCCTGTGCAAGGATGACACACAAATTCATGAAGGGTTCCATGTTTTTAAAATTTTGGCAATCTACCCATCTGACAAAGGGCTAATATCCAGAATCTACGAAGAACTAAAATAGATTTACAAGAAACAAACAAACCCATTCAAAAGTGGGCAAAGGATATGAACAGATACTTTTCAAAAGAAGACGTATGTAAGGCCAAAAACATGAAAAAATGCTCATCATTACTGGTTGTTAGAGAAATGCACATCAAAACTACATTGAGATACCATCTCATGCCAGTTAGAATGGTGATCATTAAAAAATCTGGAGACAACAGATGCTGGAGAGGATGTAGAGAAATAGGAACAGTTTTACACTGTTGGCGGGAATGTAAATTAGTTCAACCATTGTGGAAGACAGTGTGGAGATTCCTCAAGGATCTAGAAACAGAAATTCCATTTGACCCAGCAATCCTATTACTGGTTATATACCCAAAGGATTATAAATCGTTCTATTATAAAGACACATGCACACGTATGTTCACTGTGGCACTGTTTACAATAGCAAAGGCCTGGAACCAACTCAAATGCCCATCAGTGATAGACTGGACAAAGAAAATGTTGCACATATACACCATGGAATACTATGCAGCCATAAAAAATGATGAGTTCGTGTCCTTTGTAGGGACATGGATGAATCTGGAAATCATAATTCTCAGCAAACTGACACAAGAACAGAAAATCAAACTCCACATGCTCTCACTCATAGGTGGGTATTGAACAATGAGAACACATGGACACAGGGAGGGGAGCATCACACATT